CCCCACCCCCTCCGTATGCAAAACCTGTAGTACACACTGGAAGACTATTCTTTCAAGCTGCGAACATCAATGTTTTCAGAGCTTGTGATGTGTCTTGTGATTATTAATAATCAAATTTGTTTCGCTTTCCCCACATGTCTCAATTATTATTGATAATAGTTACAAATTATTTATGTCACTCTAATTAAAAAATGTTTAAATAAAATATTCCAATACGTAATACAATTGTTATTTTTTTGATTTTTACTATTTTGAATTTTCCTATGACTGCTAACTGTTTTTTAATGAATTATGTATATACCAATAAGGGTTGTATATTTCTAATTAATTCTTCATTTTTAATGAATCATCCTGATTTTTAAATTTCCATTATTTTAGCAAATTAAATAATGTAAATTTTATTGCTAGTTTTAATAGGCTTAACATTTGTCAATGTTTTTAACATTCTATCATAATACATATTTATAAATGTTTATATAATTTTGTATTTTAAGATAAGATAAGATAAGATACACTTATTGCTCCAAGTCGGAAATTCAGTTCTCGCATTAAAATACAGTAAAACAATTAAAAGAATGATCAACTATTGATTTAACTCTAAGCTTTTCATTTGAATATTGAATTGTATTTTGAGCATTTTTATACCTGAATAAATATAAAAATAAATAAATATTTCATTCATTATTTTATAATTAAGTTATTTAACTTTTTTTTTTTTATTTGGTGTGGCAAAGCCACCTTTATTAGCCACAAATGCATAAAACCAAATAACAAAAATCCCAAAAATTAACAGAAAAGAGAATAACTTAAGAAATATTATAATTACGATACACAACAATTGATTAATTATGCGTCAATTGCATTTTTCAGAGAACTCCATTTTTTAAAAAATATATCTTCTTTGCAGTTAACCAGGGCAATATATTTCTCCATTTCATAGTATTTTTTTATTTCAAGTTTTAAAGCATAGATACAAGGCATGGCTTCTTGCATTTTGCTCCGGTATATGTGTAAACGGCAGAGGGTTAGGACAGTGTTGATTTCCTTCATTTGAATGTTTCTAATTCCAAACAAACATTGTTCTTCATCCTGTATTAAAGTTAAATTACAGGTATTTTTAACTTTTTAAATATGGAAGTGATGAAAAGAGATTGTTCAATGTTATGAAAGTACTTACAGCAAATTTGAGTCTGCCAAACCGCATCCCCAAACCCCCATCCAGCTGCAATCACCATGAACTTCCACAGTGCATCATCTACTTTCGGAATCCAGAAAAACATAGCAAAGATAAGTCCCATCTGAGCAAGGCCACCCAAGGTGAAGAGAACTAGCCTACCAGTGTGCTTTTCAAGGCGGCCTAGGAGGTACGAAGACACAGCATCGGCAACACCATAGCATATCATCACATAACCCACATATCCAACACCTAGTCCACAGGTAACATATGCCTATAAAAAAAATAGATTTGATATACAAAAAATTAACTTTAAAATATATTAATATTTTTAATTAACATTGAATTAATTATGAGGTATCTACTGGTCAATTCATTTTTAAAAAGGTTGTTACTATGGTGATACGAGGGGTAAATTTTACATGCTACTTTAAAAGAGATGTAGTTTCTAAACCTTTTGCTCCATTAAGTTTTTGAGTAAAGCTCAATATCTTAATGAAACTATACAATAAAATTTTAATAGCACCCTAGGAACATGATATTCACGTCAGAACAAATTACATTAACTTATTTAAACCCAATAGTTAGGTTTCTATTTTTTGCACTAAAATAAGGATCTGATAAATAATAAAAACAGTGCTCAAATATGTTGTAATATTAATAATTGTATCAAGCACAGCTCATCAACGAGAGTTCCTTTATATATCAGTTGTATGATAAAGTGGCTGACGGGATTTGAACACTCAACCTATCACTATCAAGGCAAGTACCGTACCCATCAGACCACGGAGACATATAGGATATACTTGCAAATCTAACCAGGCAGCAGCTTCTCTCATACAACTGACTGAAGTGCTGCATACTTCAGTTGTGCATAGAAACCATCAATGAGAATTTTATCAAGAGTTCAAGATACTGCTGGTGATGTGCAACCCCACCCCTAACATATTGAAAAAAAAAAGGTTCATTTTACGAATGCATTGTGATTGACTGCATTTGAAAAGTTAACTTTGGCATGTCACTAACACTCATTGTATGCCAACATTAGACATTTTTGGTATTTCGAATGGATTTGACAACACTGGGTACACTGAGAGATTGTAAGATTCCCAATAAAATCAGGAGTGTTGGAACTGTTGCAGATGATCAACCATTTTTTTTTTCTCATTCATACAAGGCCTAATAATTTATATTTAGAATTACTATGAACCTTAGTATAGTCTCCAGCCACAAATGCCTGCTCCACACCACTATAAATCATCAAAGGTACCATAAGTAGGAGTATTGGATTCCGCCACATACCCACTGTTTCCATCCACTTCTTAACAAAATGTGCTCCATCAACGCGAGAAGACTGGAATGTAGGCAGAGTATCAAGGAAAAATATGACCAACACCAGACCAATGACTCCTAACACCAAATACACAGTCAGAAGGGTGTTAACCAGATCTTTGTCTGGTTGTCCGTGGTCACTACTGTCAGAATCATTAGTGTTCCAGACACAGCTGCATCGTCCACAGTTGTCTGTGTTATTTGGCTTTGTTTCATTTGTCTGTTGAAGGACCAAGGAAGAAATCAAGTTTCCTACAACTTGATTTGACTGGAAGATGATGAAGAAAATGCCATTGAATCGATTTAACAATGGTTCCGGAACTTCGTTGGTGAGATCAGCCAGACTGATTGCTGAAGTGGTTAAGTATGTTCCCTGCGCTGTCCACAGAGGGGCAGCAGCAAGTCCAATTAAGAGTGAGGATGGGATCAAGGTACCATAACTTGGATGGTAATTACATGCTGTGTAAACTGTATAAAATACTATGCTGCCAGCAATTGTCCACTTGGTGCCAAGTTTTCGAATAATAATGGGTGCAATAAATACACAAGAAAACACGACTGATCCATAAACGATGGTTAATGATATCACCCCAAGATCCTTGTCAGTGTTCAAGCTGCTCTGAAGGTTCTGTATAGACATATATGCAGTAAAGACAAAGAAGAAAGCACTGCTCAGCACTAACAGATTCTTCCAATAAGTTTTCTTTCGCCTAGCTTTTGGCAACAATGAGGAAGTAACAACACCACTGTTTCTCGGTCTGTCGACCACATTTTGTTGATCCATGTTTTGTATTTCTCGGTCTGTCTTGGATTGGAAGACTACAGCTAGTGAAGGCCAGTTTAAGTACTAGATAGCCTAGGCCTAGTAAGTACATACAGGTATCTCATAATAAGCACGGCCTAGTCAAAAATCCTATGCAAATCTCAATATTTGTATCCGTTACTTTATTAACACATATCCCTAATTAGAACAGTTCCTTCTGCATCGCAGAAACAAGAAGGCCGCTGTATAAAACACTCTCAAATCTCTCGATCTGGACACGGTAATGCCCCTTTTCAGCCTGACTGCAGCTTCTGTATGTGTTTGGTGTATCATGTGACATTTTGTCACCTGATACACTTCTGGATAAATTGGACCCTGGATGGCGCTCTTTGCTCTTTTTTTAACTTGCGGTTTCAACTTTCAGTGAGTGTACACAAAGTCATGGCCTATATATGGTAGGGGCCTATTTTCTATCTAGGCTGGTCGGGGCTCTTTACAGTTTTCAATTGTTCTATATAAGCATACATTTCCTACATTTTAACTCTCTAAATTACTTTGTTAACTATCTGGGCTTTTACTAGGCTAGGCCACAATAAATTATTAGTTAGGCCCTGGACCGAGTGCATGATGCACTGTTCCTCCCCTAGCGCGAGGTCGAATGAGTACTCTGGTCTGGCAGAGTGGTGATACTCAGTACAAATACAATAGGCAGAATGAGCCAAAATGATGATGTTTTAAAAGGCTACTTTTAAATGGATCCAGAATATACAACATGTGCTATGCAGTGGACCTGCATACTGGCTGTGTGTAGGCCTCTAGGCCTGTAATGTTAGTTATAGTTAATATAATCAGGGAGTTGTTATAGAATAAACAAAAAAACCATGACATAGGCCTTCTAGGCCTATTTATATTTATACTTACAGGCCTAGGCCTATTTAATTATTTCCAATAATCCTCTATAGTATAGACTACAGTTAGGCTTTAGATTACCAGGTTACTAGTCTAAGTTAATGGTTTAGAAGTTAAAATGTTCCGACATTTGCAATATATGATTAAAATGCTATTCTTGTTTTTGTATGATACACTGGTGCCATTGTACAATTTAGCTCATGGATGGAGAGACCCATCTAGTTGTTGTCTTTTTTAAAGATTTGAGACCGATCCAGAATGAGTGATCAAAAACAATTATATGTGAGGACACCATTGATCGAAAGCACACCACTCTCTAAACATGCATCGTTCAAAGTCTATTTGAAGCTAGAGAACACACAGCCTGCAGGATCCTTCAAGATTCGTGGCATTTCAAACTTATGCAAAAAGGTGAAATTCAATCAATGTTAAATTTACCGTAAGTTAAATAAATGATTTTAATAATGCTGCAAAAACAACAGCAAACACTTTTATAAAAGACCTGTTACAACCTACTGTATTGTAATAGGTGTAATGATATATGAAATCATTAGGTAGTAGGCCTACATTAATAATAAGTTAAAGGGTGCCATGACCATCCATTTGTACCTCTGCCTCTGCCTCACAATTGGGTGGGGTTCGGTAGGTCGACCTGGACCCTCCTGTGTCCCTCTATTTCAAATTCCTTGATTGTGTACTATCACATGAATATTGCATAAACACTTTATCATTATGAAGCATTTAAATTAATTTAATTTATTTTCAGTTTTCATCAAACATAATATTTATAGATTTGGTACTTAATTGTGTTTATCATTTTTAATTACTGTTTTATAGGCAATTCAGAAAGGCTGCAGACATATTGTCAGTTCTTCTGGTAAGAACTTTTGTGAAACAGATTTTTCTGTTTTTGTTTTCTTTACATTCACTTGCATTCTCTTTTATGTACAGTACATTGTAACTTTTACCATGTTTTTACAAAGAAAATTAAACTTAACTTAGATGTCATTTATTGAACACAAGCTTTCGCTGCCAATGCCAGCTTCATCAGGTGTGTGAAGTAAAAAATAGAAAACCAAATAGAAAAAGAGCTTATGCATACATAATTAGCAATAGTCTTAATACAATTAACCAATTAGCAGTCAGATACAATATAATGATCAGAGATAACAAGTGTAATAAGTAGAGCTAGGCAGATAAACTATCTGTGCAGTCATGGAGTTAATTATGAACAGTGGAGTCAGAAACAAACTAAATCTTATAGTGGCTGAGAAAGCCTAGATCTACTGTATATTGAAGCCACTATTAATGCTATCAAATGTGGCAAAGACAAGCCAAACCAGACACTCGTCCCAAAAATCAATTTTGAGTTATTAATACAGTGTTAGAGAGTAAAATAATAGCTATAAAATGGTAAAAAAATCATTCAAATCGGCCATTTCCTTATGAAGTTACAAGCGTTTAAACATACAGCTGTTTAAAGAACAATATATGAGAAATCAGCCTTTAAAGTTTATGATTTCAGGCATTTCCCATGCAGAAACTATCATCATATCCTTAAAAAGTGTTGTTTTAACATTGAAAATTGGGAAAATAACAGCATAGAATGATGTATAGATATGTAAAGATTAGTTTAGTGCAATAAAATAGATTTTTAAAAATTTGACATTCCAGCATGTTTTGGCATTTTCTCTGAAACATGATTTGCGACGAGTGACTGGTTTGGGTTGTCTTTGCCACAAATTTATGAATAAATGTTTGTTCGGCAATTAATCTATCATTTCTGTTTTTAAAGCAATTACTAAGGAGCACAGCTACTTTAAAGTGTGTAATATTATGTCCTGGTGAATTAAAATGAACTGCAATAGGCCTATCTTTGTTGTTGTGACGAATATCCAATTTATGAACATTCATCCGTTGTCTGACAGTTTGGCAAGTTTCTCCTATGTAAATAGTACCAGGACATTTAGTGTATGTAATGGCATAGATGTTTTTAATAATTCTTTTAATTATGTTTAATAATTAAAATAATTTTTATTGCAATCAATGCAATAATGTGACAATACAATGTACCAGGTGACCAGTACAATAAAGCTTAAAATAAATTTAATTTTGTTTTGCAATTTGCAGGGGGAAATGCAGGTCTAGCTGCAGCTTATGCAGCTAGGCAGCTTGGTGTTAAAGCCACAGTTGTCATTCCAGAAAGTACGCCGGAGTTTGTTGCTCAGAAGTTGCGAGATGAGAATGCAACAGTAGAGTACCATGGGAGGGTAGGTGGAGTGATTAACCGCAATTAGGATAGGAGAATTTCGGTCTTAATCACACACCAAGGGTAACACACTAAGTACAATCATGGAGGAATTAGATATGTTTCCAGTAGGGGTGTCTGGTGCTGAATTGGGAAGTACACCAGAAAACAATCCCCTAGTCTTTTCCGAAAAGTGTA